GAGATTACGCAAGCCTATGCAAACACTTCATCCTACGAATCATGGTCTTATGAGTGAAGAAAAGACATGTGAATTGGGCCACAAGGCACAAGACACCCCACTGGTGGCTTGAATTCCTTGCTATATTCTTCCTGGACAAGATTATTCTTAAACTACTTGGCGGTACATATAACAAAGTGTTAGAAACACCAGCTTAAAAAGTATGTATGAATAAAAAGATGCTGGCAAAATAGTGCTTTCTTTTAAATAACCGTTTCCAGAAGTGGAATTAAAATATAAGCACAAGAAATTAAAATATAAAAGATAAAAGAAAGATATAGCTTCTTCTTACCTATATCTATTTTTTTTCCTGGAGGAGGGCACTTTTTTAAAAAAAAAACAATTTCCATTCAAAGATCTGAATTTTCATGTAAGATCATTTCTAAAAATACCTTCTTATCATGTGTAGTCTGTATCTTCTACAGGGTAATAATTTGATAATGCGATTGCTCCAGCTGAATCATTAACCAATTACCAGCTTACTCATCACACCTACAGCCCTCCCTTTCTTAGCGCTGTGTTTGGGGAACCTCAGGTCCTACTGGTTAAACAAGATGGTTTAAGACAACTTAAGCTTTGTAGAGGCCATGATATAGAGCTGAAGAATCATCAACAAACAGCAGTTAAGCAGTACGGCATGACGCTTCGATGAGGAGGTCTAAGGGAGGCTACCAGGACTGCTGTTAGAACAGAGATCATCTGGCAGCGTGCACGTGAACAGAATCTACAAATGCTCACACCTCACCAGGACAGAAAATAATACGGAAAACATTTGAGAGATCAGAAGTGTAAATAGGAGCTTTTGACTGGACTCTAGAAAAGGTCACAAATGGCTGACTTTAATCTTTTCTGCTGGGTTGATGCACAGCTAACATCATTCTCACAAGGCCACCTAATTTCTCTGAAAGATGTTATTATTTGAGACGTGGAATTTGGTCAGTGGAGGCTGTTGCTGAGTGCAACTTTGTTAGTGTGTTAAGAGATGATGCACCTATGTACATAGGTGTTGAGTACTTGCAATCAGTTCAGACTACCTGGGTATCTCAAAAAGTCAGCAGTGGGTGACCTAATGGAGGAGACGACGCTGTGCTGACATTAACTTCTTGTTCCTAGAGCAAGGGCCTGAATGCGGTACCTGCTGGTTCTGTCTGCAGCCGTCCCTACAGAAAGCTGCTCTTGTGCATGATCAGTCTAAAGGCCATGTACGGATCACTGACTCCATCCTCTCACTTAGATGGCTAAGTGTAATTGTCTGATACTCTGGAGCTGGGAGAGGATTTTGACAAAGGTGCAGTCAGGAGAATTAAGAATTTATGTGATGTAAAAATAGGTAGGCAGTGGGTGAACAAAGTCCATGTGAAAAACAGGGTGGAAAGTCTGGAAAGTTTTCTCTGTACTTTCCTTCCCCCAGAACAAAAAAAGAATAAATAATTGAAAAGTAACAGTAGACCAGAGTAGCTAAGAAAGAAGCACAAGTAAAAGTTTCTAACTTCAGGGAAGAACAAAAAAGAGAGTATCTTCTGCTGAGAAAACTGTCAGGAGTAAACACATTTAAAACCTAATTAATTATGAAGAAAAAAGCAGAAAGGCAAAAATGACTAAAGGGTTTTGTTCAGCAGAGGTGCAGAAGACATAGAATGCTTTGAGATGCACAAAACCTATCAACCCCTGAAAAGATGAAAAAGGCACTGGCTGAACATATGACAGGAATATGCTGGGATATAAAGATGAATAGGGAACACAACTACTACAGAAGCAAGAGAATAAAACTCCATGTTGCACAGCTACACCATGGATCATTTATTAACTATTCAGATGCTACTATTTAGCTAATATTTAGGAGAATGATACAGCACTCTTGTTGGAACTTACGATGGGCAGAGGAACTGATTGAATAAAATCAAAGAAATAGGACACATGGCTATTGAAAAGAAAGTGACTGAAAGACATCCCTGAATTCTGTACTTGTCCTGCTTGCGGATATTACAATAATTTTTCCTTTCTCCTCAACAAAGATACAGACACCAAGTTCTTTACAATATATTGAGAAAAAATATACACACATAAAAGTATAAGAGGTAAATAGCAGTGATAATTCACAGCACTTGTACAGGTACATCTACTGAGATTTCTACAGGTTTTAAAATATATTTTTTATATGCTACAAATACTTTAAAATGTGTTATGAATTATTACAGTATTATGCAGTACCATGTATTCTTATAGGTTATGTTATTTGTTCTTTTACCTTATCTACATGAATTGCCATAAACATCTTGCATTGCCTTTAGCTTTCTTAATTTCAAAGATTTTCAAATTTTCAAATATTCTATTAAGGTACCAAAGAGATATTTCTCCTCCTGAAGAGCTGTTATCATTAACAGTTTATTTTTGATTTGCTTTTAAATCGTTTTGCTTTCTTAAAGCTTTCCCAGGAAGAAACACTGCCAGAGAACAGCATGTTCATGAAGCCAGTCAGCAATCAATTTTCAATAAAAAGGGAGATAGCTGTTAAGATCTACATAAGGTCTTTTTTTTTTTTTTCTATTTAATATTCACCAAGGTTTTAGGACAGCTGATGTTCTAGGTATTATTACTTGATGAATATTACTTTAAGATCAAAATCTCAGTATCTTTTGTCTGCAGTTTTCAAGTGTTTTTAGCTATTTATATTTCTGAACCTGACAGAAAGTTAATAGAATTTACATTCTGAGTCCATGCAAGCACTTCTAAAAACATCTTCCATGATCATTAGGTTAATAGGTTTTAACCTGGCATACCAATTTTTTGGCATAATTACAACCCTTCATTAATAAGGATTCCAAGCAGGCAGAAGTGTCCCTTTCACTCAGGAGCAGGGAAGTCGAATTCTACTAGCAAGTCTTCCACTAATCTACCCAGCAACTTTAAAATGGTTACTAAAGTCAGCAGTTTTAAAAGGCAACAGCTAAACTAAAGCATTAAATTAAAAAAAAAAAAAACACACTTCAAGGAAAGATTTGCATTGACTGTAGGAGGCTCTGAATCAGTCTGCAAATGGTTGATTAGTAAAATGTGCTGAATGCTTGTACTAATTGCTTAAGTCAACAACAGATGGAGGAATTGGCATCTGTGAACATAAGGCCACTCCTTCATATATCCAACTTTAGATGTAAGTAGGAACACTTGAGCTCAAGTTTTGTATGTCAGGTTTTCAATTATCAAAATGAAGGTGGAGGAAGCCTTGTTTCCACTTATTACAGTGCTATTTCATCAGCTCTAGGTGTCTGTGTCACAGGAACACGGCACATCCGCAGCCCCGAGAGCCCTGCCAGTCTCAGCCCTCTCCTCCTCCTCGCTCCAGCCTCTCCTCACCCAGCCCCTGTCCCCGCGTGACTCCCCATCCGTGACAGCCTTCAGCCCCAGACTTCCCCTTCACGCACATCCTCGGTGCCAGCCACCCAACCCTGCTAGGCTTTATTCCCATTCCGTTCTCTCCACGAATGTTTTCTAGCCTTAAAACAAATCTCATGCCTGTGCTCCACACCTGGGAACAGGAGGACAGGGTCAATAAGCAAAGGGTCATTGAGGTTTTTCGTATAAGAAAACAATACTGTTTTGGTTGAAAGTTTCCTTCTCTCTTCTATGCACATGTACATATGAGCACACAGGAGTCCTGACACAAGATGTAAGTAACTGAAACCCGGGACATAATTATATGCCTGGTGAGACAGATTCATCAAGAAAATCTGGCATTGAGAGATGGGGAAGAAGAGCTGGGCCTACAGTGTGAGAAAGGACCAGGCTATCTGGGAAAGAGAAATGTTAGGTAATGTTAAGAGGTGCACTGCCAGCTCTGCCTATGAAGCAGAGAAACATATGCAAAATCACTGCAGAAAAACAGGTAGCTCTAGTACTTGGATATCAGAAGGGAGCAAATGATAAATATTACACAAGAACATGATAAATGCTTTAGTGATCATCTGGAAAAGAACTCACCCAGTCAAATTTGGAAGTGCTAATTGAGGACATATGTGTCACTAAAATTGCTTGAGCATGATAGTACTATCTGGTTGCATCAATGCCTATTTAATATTAATGAAATAATTCTAATTATTTTTTCCTTTTCTAAAGTGTGCAATAGTACAACAAAAACTGAGATTGCTGATGCTGTATTTGAGACTTGTGAAGGAACTGATGCTGCTTAGTGCCAGCTAATCATAGAGCAACTGCACGTACAGTACAAATAACAAAATAAGTATTATTGCCTTAATGCATAAGTGAATATCCATTTCTGGATGTTTTCCACATAGACCATTTGCCTAATGAAATCAGCCTTCCTTCCTCTTCAAGTTCTGCTTTGTATCAACCTCCTTGGACGAAATAGTCTTTTCAATGCACCTTGCCTCTCCCTCCTTCATTACCACAACGTGCAGTCACAAAATGGACAGTCACAGTGCAAAATGGACTGCCCGATGCTGAAATAAAGTATCCCATTGCCTTAGCTGTATGACAGGGTCCACAAATGAACTTTAAACGGTTAAGCAAAATTGTATTAGACGGCTCATTTGTTGTAGGGGGATATTCGAAGTGCACTTTGTTTGCCTGCAGCACCACAAACAGAAAAAATAAGTGTTCAAGACATTAAGAAGCTTGGAGGGAGCATTCCGGCACAAATTTTACTACACAACATCCCTGGTAGTACCTATCACTATTTGGGAAATCCCTGCGCTAGCATGGATGGCTACATCTGACCTTTTTAGGCATCTGCAATGTGAAAGAATGGCATTACAGCAATTGAATGGAGATGAATATGTCACTCTGATTCCAAAAATTAAGAAAAATATACAGCCAAATAGATAACCCATCTATGGAAGTATTAGTATCTGACTTTGAAAATGACAGCTAATGTGCAAAATGACAGCTTTTCTCAGCTACTTTTAGTGGGTGTATTTTCCTTCTTAAATTTAAAATTAACAAACCTTCCCCGTCAGCTTCGAAAGATCATCTCCTCCTATCATCTGCATATCTTGCATAGACTGATCATTCTGAAAAAAAGGAAAGACAAAATTTTGAACTGAATAAAATAGAAGTATAAACACATTAACACTTCTTTGATCTTTAACAGTCTCAGTTAGCAATAAATTATAATTTTCAGTACCAGTGTATGACAGAAACAAAGTCATGTCTTTATTTTTATATAAACTATGTTCCTTGCTATTTCTTAATAGAACAAGCGTTGAGCAACATATTTGTCCTTTTCACAGTGGAAAAACAGGAGCAGGCATGTTCCTTTTTTTGGAACAGTCTTTTATAACTCAGCTAAAATGTGCCTACCTGTGCCACTTACTTTAAGGACTAGCAGTCATTTTAGAAGAAATTCACTTAGTATTTTTTTCTGAAAAATAGTTTGGCAAAAAATATCGGTTGTTGTCAACAAAGATTCAGTGTGCATGTCTATGGGCATACAATCTCAAGGGCTTTGGCTTTTGTTTTTTCAGCTAACTCAAAGATGAAATTCTTAAAGTCAATTCAATAAAACATGACACAGTCAGGCCAAACTGATTGACCTCAGCAACTTAATATATTTTCCTTTTTTTGATAGAAAAAATAAAGAAAAAAAACAATAAAACATTCTCTTTTGATAAATTTGTTTTACAGAAATTTCTATTGTAAAGTATTTCTGATGAAAAATTCTCTACTGGGTCTAGTTCAAACTCATTAGCATCAGCAAAGATAAGATCATATGAAAGAAACATATGGAAACCCTACTGTGAGCAGAAGAGAGAGAGGTCTAAAGGAAGGTGTCAAATTAAAAAAAAAAAAAGTCATGGCCAGGAAGTGTGAACACTCCAGAAAAAGCAAGAGCAAAAGTAATAAATGCAGTTAATGGAATTTTTGCAAAATAGGTGCATGTGCAAATCTAATCTCCCTACCCACAGGGAGACTGGGTTAATCCAATTTTAATAATAGCTGCAGTACCTTAATGTGACACTGTAGTTTACTAATAACATCAAAGACTTTAGCTTGACCGAAACCCACCAAATACGCAACTTCTGAATACTTTGTTTTTATTTTATAAGTAAATCCAGTACTCTGAGGTGAAGTACTTTTCCACCAATAAGTAACAGGGCAGCAGCGCTTACACGGTAGGGAAGGATGTACTGGTGGGCTAAGGGGTTTCTTCCTGAGGCTTGGCAGCAGTGGCAGGGACACGACTGGCCCATGACGCGGTGCAGGCCGCAGGCCGCAGCTGGGCTGCCCTTCACCACGAAACCCTCGCTCAGTCTCACGGCCGCTGCCAGGGACTTTGCAATCACTGCATCAAAAGCCATGTGGCAGCCCTGGGAATGCTCCCCAAGGAGGATTGTCTAGATTAATGTAGCCTTTCTCAGCCACTCTATAGATTGTAGTTAGTGTTGCTCAGCTGAAAATCTGCCGCACACACACCCAAAGGTTTCTCTTCTGTCCCCAGGAAGCTCTTGCACCCTGGTCTTTGGCAGTTGTTGCCTTAAAAGACAATTTCAGACCTGCCTTCACATTTCCGCACTGGATCTAGGCGCTTTAGATCCTCTTCATGCTGCCCTGATTCGTTTCCCGGGAAACGGGGCTGCCGCTGGAATGGAGGCTGCATCCGGCATGCTTTCTAATAGGAGTTTCAGCATTTATTTCATTTATGTAAAGAACAACGGGGAAAAAAATGCGAGCAGCTCATTCCTCAAGATTATTTTAAAACTAACCAAAAAGTGCAGATAGAGAATATTTTAAGATTAGATTTAAAAGTATAAGCCTTTTGTTGCAGAGTAAGCCAGGTCATTCTTCAAAAGACAGGGACGTATTCAGGTCAACGCTAGTATGAGCCTGTAGAAAGCAGAACGATTGTTTGCCGTGTCTATCAGGGCAAGTGGTGACAAAAGGTTTTTCCTTTTCCAAATAAGATGGAACTTCAGCAACCAAAAAAAAAAAAAATCCAAAAAAACCCCACAGCATGCAGGAATTGTTACTGAAGGAGCAGTTTGCCCTTGGTTGCTAGTTGAAAAAGAGGGAAAGAAAAGATAACAGTGAGGTGCATGGATTAATGAATGTGATTTTTTTTTTAATTAAAAAAACTCTCTTTCAGGAGACTTGCAGCCACCCCGTTTCCTTTGCACTTGGCATTTCTGGCCGCAGCTGAAAGGAAGACGCTAAACCGGCATCTTCGCTGCTGGCGAGCGGGGGAGCGAACACAAAGGCCATTGAGAGCGGGGGATTAGGGCGGCCCACGAGGCTGCGCGTTGACGCGCTGGGCGCCGCCGCCGCCGCACACAATTATGTAAATCCCTCCGCTCTGGCCGGGCGAGCGCGGCTGTCCAGGGACAGGGCTGAGCCTCCGCCGTGCCTCAAATCCATCCACAATAACGTGAGCTGGGGCCCCCGGCCACGCTGCGTTCAGGGAAGGACTGAAGAGAACTGACTCGCGTCGCACCGCGGAGCCGCCACAGGCCACGGCAAGAATCGGATCACGGATTTTGTTGCTGGAAGTATCTCCACATTCGTGAACCGACTCAGAAGATTCGGTCGCACAATGTGGCATTACAGTCATCGTAATGTTCATATATTGCTGGCGACTTCGCACGCTATGGTTGCCATAGCAACCTCGCTGCTTTTTTTCCCCCGATTCCTCAATTTATAATCTCAAAATAACATTGCACTAAATGTTAAGCATGAAGTGCAATAGATGTCAGAAAGAAAAAAATAATTGAAAAAAATGATTCATTGAGAACTTTTTACTGCCAATTCAGAACCGTTTGCTTAATTTTCACAGTCTCAGTCACTTGGGTTTCTTTCTTTCTCTGGGAGATGCTCCATAGATTGACAGCACAAAACCAACATGACTGAGTCTCTGGGATTTATCCTAGCTACAAAGACACGAATTAGAACCTTCTTTTCACTCCCTCAAGGCTCCTCAATACTCTCTAACATCTCTATAACTTATCAACATTATTTTTGCAGGTAAATGCTTATGACTAAAATAATGTTCCAGATAGATGCAGATAGTGTGTTTTGATTTTTGCATCACAAAATGTATTGTACCTGTTTCTAAAGAATCATGATACCTCTCACACTATCCCTTCTTGTCATCCCAAACTATAGTAAATACCTACATTTTTGATTTTTTTCTCAATAAATTCATGCTTTGCGAGGATAAGTTTCACTTTTATTTTTGTTACTGTAACATGTGCTGCCCTGTTTCATTTGTTCATCTTCATTTTATAATCATGTTTCATGCAGACCTTGTCAATATGCATCCTGAAATGCGAGGAGATCTTAATGAATAGAAGTGAGAACGTTGCTGCTTCCACCTTCACTTCTCACAGCACATGTGATAATGCTCTGTTTGACTTTCTATGTGGAATGGAACTATAGATATTTAAATTCCATCTATACTAAGTCATGTCTTTTGAATTGGGTGGGGCGCAGAAATATTACATCTCTTTTACATCTCCTGAGATCAACACTTGGACATAGTTCAAGTTACAAGTGAAATGAGTTGGGTGGTCTTAGGAAAAAACTATTATAAACAGCATTGCTCATCTGAAAATCGCACCAAACTGTGAACATCTGTTACTTTTCTAAAGGAACAGAGTCTGGAGCACATTAATATTAGGCTCAAGGAAACAAAGATTTGCTAATAATAGCCAAAAAAAAAAAAGCAGTTCTAACAAAACAGTTTAAATGCACAGCTACATTATAAAATACAGACACCATGACATTATCACACATCTATTTAATGTAGCCTGCACAGTTCATAGGAAATCTCTTGAAAAAAAACATGGTTACCTTTTTACTCCCCAAATTAATCAGGCAGATTCCTAAGGGAGAAGGAGCCGGTCGCTCGGCCTGCGGCCCTTGCGTTGTGCTGCGGCGGCACCGCCGCTCTGCCCAGCTGGGCATTCCCGTGCGGAGCGCTCTGCACCTTATCTCCCACACAACTGCAACCTCACACTTGCAAAAGGTGATTTATTCTAACCAGAGACAGGTTTCTATGACAGGTAAATCATCTATTTCACTATACAGAAAATCTACAGCAAATAACTTGACTATTTTCCATTAGTAACATCCTGAACTATCCAGTTAGATTCTGTCTCACACAAACCTTTCACGTAATTCCTCTAAATTCTACCTCAGGATATTTTGCTTGCATATTTACTCAAAAGTTCAATTTTAATCCAGTTGAAAGATATTTGAGGAGATTCAAAACATACAATCAATCTAATATTTCTTCCTGCTTATGTCAAAAATGAATATTTGCAACCGGTCTCTGCAGATTCAGTAGTAGTTTTAGAGCAATCACACACCAGTTTTGCAGTTAGGTACCTTAGTTGCACATAACATCACACTGGAATATTAACAGAGTTTGTAGTCTAAACATTTAGATACAAACAAAAAAAGTAAATTTACATATAGGATCTACTCAGTAAATAACGAAAGCACTTAGATATGTGGCAGGAGTTTATGATCATCAAGAATGGAGCCTTAATGTCCCTCACTAAAATAAGAGCTTGAGTTTGACACTAGATCGCAATGGGTTAAAAAAAAAAAAACTCTGAAGGCCATCCAAACAGCTGCATTTTGAGGCAACAAAGTCAATGGCATTAATGCCAGAGAGAAGATGACATTAGCCAAGGTAATGAATGAGGAGGATTTGAACAAAATTCTTGGCAGTTCGTACAGTAAGGAAAAACTGAGACTTTGAACTATTACATGGACCAAATTGAGGCATGAAATAGGTATATGATTTCAGAGACATAGCTGTGCCAAAGGCAATGTTAAATGTTAAAACTGTTAAAACTGAAATTGAAAATGACAAAAAACAAGCAGAGCTCACTATGCTATCACACAAATTAACATACCTTTTTCAGTTAAGAAAAAAACCTAGTTCTCAGATGAAAAAAGAAACAGAAATGACAAGAAATTGCTTTTTAGCTAATATCCTTCAAGCATGAAACCACAAAGCAATGCCTCTTACACAACTTTTAAATAGAAAATTACTACTGCTGTGACTTAG